GTAGGGGCGCGCGCCCGGGCCTCCCCCCGCTGCGGCGGGGAGATGGAGCCTGCGGCTTTGGCCACATCATGGCCTCCTCTCTGTGGAGTGGGAGGGACCACGAGCCTTGGCCCGGCCATGGGGTCTCAGGCTGTCCGGCTTGGGAAGCTGCTGGTTAAAGAGGAAAGGGAGGTCACTTGTCCTGGGTCTATAATTAGAAGCGGTAGGATTTGCTCCGGTTTCTCACCGGTGCCTGGAAAACAGCATCCACAATAGCCCTGTGTTGCCTGCCTGGCTCTTTACCAGCAGGAAATAAAACGCACTCTGGAATTAAAGGCGAGCTCCGCATCCGTGCACGGGACAAGCAGCTGGGTTTCGTGCTCAGTGCCTTCTGGGCTGGCACCTTTCTCTCACTCCGTTTGCCGTTGTTCCCCTGGGAGCACTGCAATGACATGAAGGTTGGGAAGGGATTGCACAAAAGCAAGGAAGGACATGATGGAGGCCACGTATGGAGGCAGTGCCCAAGCACATAGTGGCAAGAGGAACAGCAAGAATCGAAACTCGTAACGGAGGCCCGAAGGGAAATAAGGAGTTCATAAACACTCTGAAAGAGCTGACATGTCAGGAGCTTTTCCAGTGGCAAAGGAACACAGACGGAAGCTGCAGGATGCTGATGCTTTCAAGGCTGTCCTTAGCCATCCCAGTGTCTGGTCCCAGGTGGTTGCTGGCCCCTTGTTCATTTTTTTACAAGGCAGCCTGCCCTAGTGACTGGTGGCTGCAAATTCCTCCTTATTAGCTCCTTGGGGATCTTGGATGCCCCCCTGTTTTCCATGGCTCGCTAGCAGGTACTTCTGGAGATCAGGACTGCAAACCTGTCACACTGTGTCCTCCACTCTGCCCAGCACGGAGCCCTGCTGCCTCCCCAAGTCCGCAGTGCAGAGGCAGGATCCTTCTTCTCTGCCGTTCTTGGCCGGCCTGCAGCAGCCTCCTTGCATTTGCTGTTTTTTTTTTCTTTTAATTCTCTGAAGTCAATTTCTGATCTCAGCTGGAAACTTCTTGCCACTTCTCTCTGTCCCTAGCACTTTGCTCTGGAATGGGCCTGGTGGGAGTGTTTTGGAGCTGGTGAACAGCTTGTACAAATGGAGCTATTGGAAATCAGGATAAGCGCTGCTGAGGCTTTCGTGGCGGCATGAGCTGAATTCTAAAGCAGCAAAGTGCCAGAGGAGAAGGGGCAGGGATGTAGCCAGAGGCTGCGTGTCCCTTGGGAAAGCTTCCCGCACCCCTTCTGCTGTCCCTTCCCTTTGTTACAGCTGCAGGCGGGAATACCGGCAGTGCCAGGAAGGTTTTTGCCATTACCTAGGCCATCGTGTGTCTGTGTGTCCTGAAGCCCAGTGTGTGGCAGGTGCAGAGAACCAACACACTTCCTGGCTGGAAATAAGGATCCCAAGTTCTCGGACTCACCTTGAAGCAGGGTCCACGAGCCCTGGAAGGGGCCAAGAGCCGACACCTTGCAGGCGTGAGCACATGGGAGGGCTGCCCTTGCGCTGGGAATGCCCTTGCTGAGAGGTGGCACCATGGGGAAATGGCTGGCACCACTCCGAGCCTCACTCGTGCGCTCGTTCCCACTGAGTCACCGTGCACACTGGCTTCCGCTGGCTTCTGCCTGCCTAAGGGCTGAATTCCCTGGAACCCTCTCCCAGGGATGGGACGCACCCAGGCTCTGAGAGAGCAGGGGCGCCCATCTGGGTGTTCGTCGTGTACGCCAGGATTTGTTATGGCCAGTGCCCCCTCTGCCCGCTTGTGCCTTCCTTTTCACAACAGCTGCGGCCCATCTCCAGAGCCAGATGTGCTGCCCGGCCAACTGGCTGCCCCACGTGTGTTCGGCAGCCCTGTTGTGGGCCTTGCATCTCTAGGCAGAGCAGAGGTATTTGTAGAGCACGTTCAGACGAGGCCTGGAGGAGATGTGCTTACCAGCTTGGGGTGTTTTCTGCTTTTGTTCAGGGTATACAGTATTTTTGAGAAAATTGGAGATTTGATCAATATGTTCAAGTACCTGAGGAGTGATTGTAGGGAGGATGGGGCCAGGCTCTTCTTAGTGGTGGCCAGTGACAGGACAAGGGGTAATGGGTGTAAGTTGAAACATAGGAAATTTAATCTCCGTATGAGGAAGAACTTCTTTCCTGTGAGCCCGCCACAGCCCTGGCACAGGCTGCCCAGAGAGGCTGTGGATGCTCCTTCTCTGGAGATCTTCCAAACCCACCTGGGTGCCACCCTGTGCCCTGTGCTCTGGGTGTTCCTGCTGGAGCAGGGGGTTGGACTAGATGGTCTTTGGAGGCCCCTTCCAACCTCAACCGTTCTGGGATTCTGTGTCAGTGGGATCAAACTTGAGCCTTGGCCAGCATGTGCAAATGCACAGCCACCATGCTTGGTAGCAGGAGGACCACGCACTGTGTGCCCCTGTCTTCCGAAAGGTGCCCAGGGAGCTCCAGCCTCAGCAATGCAACCAGCCAGAGCAGCCTGTGCCGGCGGGTACTGCCTGTCCTGACCCAGCGCGGATGTTGCAAGAGCGGCCAGTGTGTCTGTGCCTGCCCGGGCCCCGGGTGTGTCAAGCAAAATAAAGGTGTGGAGGTAAAAGTTCCTGAGCAGGAACAGGGGGTCCAGTGTCCACAACAAGACGTTTATTGGGTTCATCACCATTTGGCAGATGAATTTAACCTTCTCTGGGGAGGTTCTCCTCCTAAAGGTTGTTTCGTGAAAAAATTCCTTCCAGCAGTTCAGGAATGTATGAGAAATGGGAGCGAGTCAGCAAGGTCAGGGACGCGGTGCAACTCTAAAACAAGAATATATAAATAGGACATTCCACGGCCGAGCTGTCACAAGAAGTCTTGTCTGCTTCCCCCTCCTCTGCTTCAGAGCCTTCAGCTGGGCCTGGCACTGCAGAAGAGATTTGCCAGGTAGCGATGACAAAGACGGAGCTGTGTTCCTAGGAGTGCAAGTAACGCCAAGGCCCTAATGTGGGGCAACTGAGCATCCTCCTCCCTGCCCTGCACCCGAAGGAGCAACGTGAGCCAATTCAGCTCGGAGCTGGCTGCATGCACAGCTGGACAGCCCAGGAGTGCCCCTGGGGTGTCCCTGGGGAACGGGGCATGGTGGGGCAGGAGGTGAACATGGGGAGGAAAGGGGTGGGCGGAGGAGAGGGAATGAGCCTGTAAGTTCATAGGAAGGTTGATGGCACCCCACAGGCTCTTGCCTCTGTAAACTGGCGCAAAGCAGCTTTCAGAGCAGAGCAGTACATCATACTTCAAAGTGCCCTGAGATCCTCATGGGCCTCCAAAAAATAACCACAGAGCATCCTTTTTTTTTCATAACAAACTCCTCTGCTTCTCCTGGCCACCTACCAAAACAGATCTATCTAGACCCAGATCTCGCTGCTGACTTAATGATATCAAACAGGAACTGGAGGTGCTGGCTCTTCCCCATGCCAGGTCCTCAGATGTGGCATGGTTGATCCAGGCAGTCCCAGGCCCTCCATCCGCTCTCTCACCTGGTTGCCTCCCTTCGCTTCCTAGCAATTTGGTGTGTACCTTCATGCCCCAAATATTTTCTCAGGGTGGGTAGTTCCACCTATCTGCCCCCTCCTTACAAACAGGCTGTGCGAGAGAGGATACATGGAGGGAGTTGGTGCACGGCCACCTCCACATCCCCTGGGCAAGACGCTGCCACACCGGGCGCACTCCGAGCCTACTGGCCTGTGTTGCTGAGCCTGCTAGCCAGCTGCTTTGCAAGCTCCAAAGCCAAATATCTGCTCTTTTTAAAGGCGTTTTACAGCTGATGCTCAGCTCTGCAGAATGTGAAGTCTCTTACTTGAAATGCGGTTCCTGCCCTGCCAGCCCTCAGTGAAATAACTTTATCTCGAATCCCTGGTCCCTGCTTGGCCTCCTGGAGGACTTTGCAAGCTGTTTGCTCTGGATGAGTGCCGCCGTTGCAGGCGATGAGCGCTGCTGTGTCCTGCCAGTTTCTACCTGTGGTCAGGCTGGCGCCTGTGGTTTGAGGACACCTCCTGCTCCATCCTGCTCTTTAGCCCCCAGGCTGGCTGGCAGGGCTGTCACAAGGGTGCTGCTCTCGCTGTAATTTGGGGACTCTGGTGAGTGAGAGCATGGGTTCCTGAGCCAAGGGAATGCCAAGCCCCCATCAAACCTCAGCCTGGACTTTGTGCCACTTCATTCAACCAAGCCAGGCTTTATGGCACTATCTGCCTTGGGGTGAAGGCTGGCCTCAGAGGGTAGTTTTGCAGCTCAGTTGTAGGGACCGGTTCTCCGTATTTGGCTGCTAGATGTGCTGCCCTGTGAGATGCCAATGGAGGACTCTTGACACTGGCACCGGAGGGAGCACTGCCTGTGATGGCTGCCCTTGCCCATGCAGCACAGGGCATTGACAGCCACCTCCAGGGCCTCGCCAACCTTGTCTTCCATGGTCTCTAACAGCCTTCTCTGTCCCTTTGCTTCTTGGCCTTTGGATTAGGTCTCTTGGCATTAACTCGTTGCTCACTGTCTCCCATGGGATCTGCCTCACGCTTTCTTCTTTCTGCTCCCTTTATTCTTTGCAAGGGCTTTGGAAGAAGAGAAAGAATGGAGTCTGTTTTACTAAAACTGGTTTCTATCAGCTGCCTCCTAAGCAGAAGGATATGTTGGTTAGTGAACTGGTCTGGGTTCTGGAGAAGCAAATGATATGCCTGGATTGTCTGTATGTGCCAGCCCTGCCCTTGAGATGGCTGTGGGGCTTGAAGCTGACAGCAGCTACAGCATTTGGGCTGGTCTGAAAAAGAAAGAAGAGAGAAAATCTCTCCTGCAGGAGGATCCCCATTTGTCTCAGGTAGCCCCATTTGTAGCTATGATGATCCCCATTTGTGCTAGGTCCCTTGGGTTAGTGTTGTGGCATGGTGAAGAGCCCAGTGCTGTTCAGACCCTCCCAGATGCTTGTCCTTGCGGTGGATGGGCACTGCGGGAGAGCTGGCCATCAATTGCTCAGACCCTCACGAGAGCTCTTCGGCTCTGTTTATATTCCTGGGATCATAAAAATTCTTGGGACAAATTCTTGGCTCGTTCAGCGAGCCTGTGTTTGAGACAGCATAAGCGCTGCCGGCATGCAGGCCAAAAAAATGCTGGAAAGCTGACGAGAAGCTGTTTGGCCCAGGGTGGTCTCTGCATGTTCAAGGATGCGGGATATCCTCAGCCTGTTTGTCACTTGCCTGCCATGAAATCTTGAGCCTTTAAGCATTAGCTGTTGTAAGCTGCCTTTTTTGTTTTTCTGCTTGCCAGGTAAAATTTGATTCTTGTCTTGTATATCTTGCTACTGATGCATGCCCCAGCAGTACCTTCAGGCTGATGGTCATTATGGAGCAGTAATGTGCAAGCCACCTCCCTCTCCAAGGATAATTCACAGCATAGTTTAGGTTGGAAAGGACTTTTGGAGGTCTCTGGTACAAGATCCGACTCAAAGTGGGGCTAATCTGCAAGTTAAATCAGGTTGCTTGCAACTCATCCAGTTGAGCTTTGGATTTGTCCAAGGAAGGAGGTTTGACCATATTCACAGTGGAAAATGCTGCTTGTGACTTGACTCCTGATCTGAGAGCAGCCACTCGGGTTTTTGGGGGGCTGTACTTGTTGTAGTCACCCAGTCCTCCTGTGCAGCCACAGACGCACCCCTTTAGGCACCTAAATTTGAGATGCAAGAGGGGTTAATCCAACCAGGAGCTCAGTGTCCCTCAGCATACACCTAGTGCAGATCAGTCCTCCCTGAGACAACGACCTCCTTGGGAGGAGCCAAACCACCACAAACATAGCCAGGCCTTCCTGCAGCCAAGGTGTCCCCAATCCTTGCTTCATGCCCTCCCGAGGTAGGTGCTGCTGACCTTCCCACGCAGAGCGGCAGCACCCAGTGGGGCAGTGGATCCTCCTTGTCCTCCGGCAGCCGTTCTCACTCTGTTGTCCCTTCCCCGCAGGTCCCGCTGGAGGACCACGTCATCTACTCGGGCAACCTCTTCCAGTACATTGAGGAGAACAAGAAGTGGAGGAACCGCTTTTGTGTGGTCCCGCACAACTACGGCTTGGTGCTCTACGAGAACAAGCTGGTGAGCTCTGCCCCGGCCTGCTGGGTGGCCCTCTGTCTTGCTCCCTCTGTGCAGGGCTGGCAGGTGGCCTGGGGACACAGAGTCTGCTCAGCAAGGCCATGTCCTTGAACCAGGCCCTGCAGATGGCCTGGTTTTGATGTGGGATCTCACGTGCCCTGTGAAGGTTTCTTTCTGTCAAGGAGCACTTGGCAAAGGTTGGTCAAGCAGCTCTTGCACTCCTGCCCTTCCCATGCTGCAGCCCAAGTGGGCTGACGTGGCACAGCTTGGGATTCAGGTGCTTTCTCCAGATGTCCGAACAAGACTCTGCCCCCTGAAGCCATGGGACCACCCCTGGTGTTGTGTCCTCCTACCACTGACCATTTCTCTCCCACTAGGCCTACGAGCGAGTGCTGCAGCCCCGTGTGCTGGTGAACAGTGCCGGCTACAAGATCCTCACCTCCCTTGACCAGTACCTGGAGCTGGTTAATGGCAGCCTGCCGGGTAGGTGGCCTTCACCTTCTGCCGGTTGAGGAGGGATGCTGGAGCTCCAGGACCTGCCATGCTGGCCCACTGTCTACTCAGCCCGTGCCTGGGTGCTGCACGTCCCTAGGGACGTGAGCAGGGAGCTCTGCTCTTGAGCTCTCTCTGCCCCAGGGTTGCAAGGAAACTCTGAGGTTTCCCTGCAAAGAGGAGTGAAAGGGTTGGGGAGAACAGAGCAGGGGAAGTGGCCGGTCCTGTGGAAATGCCCACCCTTGCTTTGGAACTCAGGGCAGGGAAACGTGGCTCCCCTGGCACTGTGACAGCCTGGGCAGTGCTGGCAGAGGCATCCCCC